TTCGTTAGCGGTAGTTCGTTCGCACGTTCGTTTCGTTTTCGTTTCTTATTCGTTTTGTTCATTCGATCGTTCGTTTGCAGCAAAGTGACATTCGAGGGGGAAAATGTTTTTCTTCAACGAACGAAACGAATAAGAAACGAAAACGAAACGAACGTTCGTACGAACTACCGCTACCGAATGTCGGAAACGGAAATTCGGATTCATTAACATTCGTTATAGCTGTAATTCGTAATTCGGATACATCCGAAAGTCTGAATTTCCGAAAATTCGTCCGAATTTCGATTCGGAACGAAATGAATCGCACATGTCTAGTATTGATTTCTGTAATGGGGGCAGGCTGCATATACAGTAATAAATATGCTGTTCTTTCTGGGGTTTCTATTTTTTTCACACACTAAGTGCTGCAGCGTGGGATAGAATACCCCGTGCTAGCAGCATGTTGGAGAATCAGATTGGCGATCTCACACAGAGCATAGTTACATAGTTAGTCAGGTTGAAAAAAGACACAAGTCTATCGAGTTCGACCTATAGAGATGTAGCAGGTTTACAGCAACTTGACTTCCCCCTTGCACATTGTTCCAGTTAACACTCCCTTATAAGAGCTGTTGATGCAAAAAAAAAAAAAAAACTGTCCCTGGTCCAAATCTAGCTCTTGTCCCAATATAGAGCAAGGTTCTTGTCTACACAACCTGATCATCCCTGGTAATTGGCACACAAGGGCCTCCTGAAAATGTGGCATTGGTTTTGAAAATTGGTTAAAAATAAGACATATTGCTACATCTGATAGAAAAATCTGACAGTGAGTGTCTTACATAATGATGTTCATGTTGTTTTTAAATTAAATTTTGGCCTCTTAGAACCTGCAGATTCTTCAATGGTTTTATACCTGGGGTTTGAAAGGAGAGATGATTGAAATGTCATAAGTTGAGTCCAACATTATCTAATTATGCCTCTCGAGTGATTGCTATTTTTAATCTTCGGTATAGTGCTACGACACATTTTATTTCATTAATAGTGTAAATCCATGTGCCATTTAATGGTTGGCTCAGCAGAGAGCATGCTAGAATATCCAGCAGGGTTTTTAATCATTAGCTCCATAATTGTGATTAAACCACCTGGGGGTGAAATGGAGACGTAGTCCTATTCATTGTGTATAGAGCAAAAGAGAGGAAACTGCTGACATATTATATGTACGGCAGTATCCAGACATGCTGATCGACCAATTAGCCCATCCAGTTTTCTATTCTTATTAATGAGTTTTCTAAAGTTAGACCCAGCATTGGCAAATTCATTAATATGATTCTTCCATTAGGGTGTAATGAATGTTCACACTCCCATCCTATATCAAACATAATTCTGCAGCTACCCGCTAAACAACAGGGGAGACCTATGACTAGGCTCAGATTTGTGAAATGGGCCGCAGGCCTGGGTGGCAAACTCTCAGGGGAAAATTGTGATCTCTAATTTTATAATCATATTACATTTCAAGTATATAATCACATACAGTAAATTATGGTGAAAAGGGGCTATAGGAATTGAAAAACCCTCCAATGGAATCATTGCTGTGCAGAGTAAATTCTTCTTAGAAAATAAGATATAAATATGTCTCATTCCATCACATGGATAATTGGTAGGTCAACCAATTATCCCACAGGGAATGAAACCGTGTCAGGGTGCCCCGTTGTTGATAATGCGCTCATATGCAATGATCCTATCCAGTTCCACATGCCACATCTCCAGTGTAGGTGGGGAAGAGGATATCCATTTATGGACTGCCAACCTTGTTGCAGTGAATAATGCGCGTTTAAGGGCCAGAACCGTGTGTTGAGTGAGGTCCGTGTCCTCTATAATGCCAAGAACGCATACCAATGGTGAATTAGATAAGGAGGATGCGAACTAGACATGTGCGATTCGTTTCGTTCCGAATCGAAATTCGGATGAATTTTCAGAAATTCGGACATTCGGATGTATCCGAATTCCGAATTACAGACATAACGAATGCAAACGAATCCGAATTTCCATTAGAAAAGTGGGTTTCTCCAGCAGCAATCACACATAGCCTTGCAGGATAGATCATGGAGTATGACAGATGGAGATGTTGGAGACGCTTCTTGACATCCATGAATTTCGCTCTGCGACGTTGCACCTCCTGTGAAAAATCTGGAAATAGCATAATCTTCGAGCCGGCCAGAGAGATTTCCCCCATATCCCGTGCCTTTCGCAGAATGCGTTCTTTATCCCGGTAATTCAGAAGCCGGATCAACATGGGCCTAGGCGGGTTCCCAGGTGGTAACGGGCGAGAGGGAACTCTGTGAGCTCTTTCCACAGCAAACAAAGGGGACAAGTAGGTCTTCCCAAAAACTTCACAGAGCCAGAATTCCATGTAGTCAGTGGCATTAGCCCCTTCTGTGCGTTCCGGAATGCCGACAGCCCGGATATTGTTGCGTCTCAGCCTGTTCTCCACATCATCCATTTTCAGGGTGTGTGCAGAAATATCATGTAATGCCGTTTTCACATCAGAGAGCAATGGGGACGTAGTATCTTCCAGCCCACTCACCCTACCCTCCAGGGCAGAAGTGCGGTCCCGCACTTTCTGCAGATCATGGCGCATGAAGGATATGTCGGCCCTCATCCCCTGCACCTGATCTGTGAGAGATGTCAGCGCAGCGTTGCATAGCTGTACAGCCGAAAAAACATCTGAGATGGTAGGCTCAGTCGGCTTAGATTTCGTTTTAGATGCTTTAGGGCCCTTCAGATTCTTAGACACTGTACTCACAGTCACTGCGGTATCATCCGGGTCCTCCGAGTCAGAGGCAGAGATGTGTGGGGAGCCAGGCCCCATATCCCTCTTATAGGCACGGTCTGCGGAGTAGGAGAGTCGGCGTGCCTTGGCCGGTGTGTCCGGGTGTCGGGCGAAGCGTTCCAGCCTCACCGCAGCATCCCTGTTCCTGTCCCCCGTTTGCTTACTGGGGGTGGGAAGTGCAGGATGCGAGCCGCCACCGCCGCCGCCATCTTGGATCGTGAGGCCTCTACCGTCCTTCTTTTTAGACATCCCCTCGTGTCAGCGCGCGGTTCCACAGTTCACCGGAGCAGGTCGCCGGGGTCCACGACACTCAAGTAAGCCGCCGGAGAGGTACACGGGTATCTGGGTAAGCCCTGCAGGTTAGTTTCAGGATGTATGGTGGGAGAGCTCTCCGGGACACGTTCGACTACATGCGGCTGCTGGCCACGCCCCCCATATCTTTAAAATATGGGTAAAATTTAACAGCAAACACACCTTTAGAAATGTTTAGTAATGACAATCTGCAAGCACATACTTCTAGATAATTGCGGGCTTTGTATTCTTTGCATACCTTATTTTTCTTTTCTTCCCCAGTCTTCTGGCAGTGGCCATGTTAACTAAGGGCAGATTACTAGATCTCCTATTACTTCCTGGATTTATGGCACATGTGACTAACCATGTGGCTAGGACATGTGACCATGCACATCATCTCAGGGGAGGAAAATGCCTTTCCCTGAGATCTCATGAGATTACAGATGAGATTTCCCAGCAATGCTCTGCCGATGACAAGACAATCTCAGTGTGCATTGCGTTGGCAAACTGAAGTAATTTTCCCTTTCAAAGCAGGAAGTGAATGCTCTGCAAGTGTAAGTATTTCACAATCACAGCATTTTACACCTGACATGTCTATGTTATTACTAATCATCATACATAGAGGGGTGCATTGGTAGAGTTTGATGTTTGAGTGTAAAGGTCCGCTTTAAAGGAGAACTATGGGGTTAGTGCTTTTCCCCATAGTTCTCCTAAGGTTAACGGGAGGACACAAACTAGCGTCCTCGCGTCACCCTAAGCTGTAGCTTGCGGTATACTGAGACGCCGCACCTGAAGCGGATCCCTACAATTATGTCTGGATCCGCTCAGCTGTGTGAGTGACAGCTGGCTCTGCCTATCTAGAGGCAGAGCCAGCTGTACCCGCCCCCTCCCCCGTCCGTTCCACCAGTCAGCGCTGGGGGATCGGGGCGGGGAAGGGGGAATCCAGCCCCTCCCCTGTCACGGCAGAGAGCATAAAATAAAAACACATCCTGTCCTCAGAACTCTATGTTATTCTAGAGCAGATTTTCTCAACCAGAAAAAGAAAATGGCAAAAATGTAAACTGTTCCCTATCTATGCAAACAAAATGGCTGGAGTTACTCTTTAAAGTCAAAATGTTTTTAAGCTATTTCAGTTGCTGATGAAATCACTTACAATGGATGCTGCTCATTGATGTCCCCTGAGCGCTGACCCTCATTCCCTTTTTAGGATGGCTCATTTCCCTTCCAGGAACCTATGGAATTACCCTTGTATGTGCTGGTAAGCTGTGTGTGTATTCAGCAAACAAACAAGCCCAGCAAGGCAAGACACTGTCTTGCTTCCTGCTCTCCCTACTCAACGTTCTTCCAAGCTAGTAGATGGACAGCTGCTGAATACTGCTCTGTCCCTTGTGACTGTGTACCGGACAGGCAATTCAGGGAAGCTGAGCTGAGAGACTTGGAGCTGTTTGGAAACGTGATGACTGTAAGCACTTGGGCAAAAGTGTAAAGAAATACTTTGCTGGGCGGTGTACATTTGTTTGATTTTTATTCATTATTGAAGAAAAGATTGACAGTGTTATTCACTAAAGGGTGAAGAGTTTGGAGAAGGCAGGGGAAGTGAACAATCTAGGACAACATAGCTGAACTGGAAAGTGAGCTGAATTGGAGGATTTTGCCAAATCAGCTATTTTGGCCTAGATTGTTCACTTCTTCTGCCTTCTCCAAACCCTTCACCCTTCTGTGAATAACCCTGTGAGAGTTTAACATTATTTTACCGAACAACAAAGGCGCTGTTACAAAAAGACAGTGCCCCTTTAAATGATATTATATTCCCTTATTTCAGTCTGCATTGCTAAAGCTGAGTACTGTGAGCATTGAATGTGCTAGTGGTGGTATTAAGTCTTCTAATGTCTGTTCTCTCCTCCAGCCTTGTGACTCTTCCTCGGTGCGGTCAAGGACAAGATTTCCTCTGAGGATTCCCGCGAACAGGAAGACGTGTCCCGAGGCTTCTCAGACAGAGCCGTGCGTCCAGAACACTAACTGTTTCCACTATCACTATAATGTCACAGGTACGGCTGCACCTCCCGGTCATCCTAATCTGCTCTAAGGCAGCCTAATGATTCCCCCTGGAGACTCCCTGTACCTGCCATAATGGCTCACACTTTAATGTACCCATTAAATATTCATCCATTTTTCTTCTCCTTCTGATATATCTGAAAACAAAAAGCCCTGTTGCTGGCTCGGAGTTGGGGCAGGATTTATTAAGCAAAATTAAATTGCACAATGATCTGAGCTGTCAGCAGTACAGAACTTGTGCATACGTATGCAGATCTCCACGGCACATCGGTAACTTGATCGCCATGCTTTTTAAAGGTGACGAGTCAGCATTTTAGGGAAATGCAGCAGTTGCGCATTTAGCTTGTTAGCCTTGTAGCACTGGAGTTGAGAAATAGGTCCCCTATAGGGATGCTATCTGCATGGGGTTTGTATTTTTCCCCTGTGTCAATGTGGGCTTGCACACTATGGGATTGATTTACTAAATATCTCTATCTCCCACCTTGACTGCCTTTAGGCGATCCCTTAAGACTCATCTCTTCAGGGAAGCCTATCCCACCTCAAACTAACCACTGAACCATCATGTTCTCAAACAATTCATCACCACACAGCTACCTCCTCATGTATCACTTCTCCCTCCTTTTAGATTGTAAGCTCTCAGGGGCAGGGCCCTCCTTACTATCTTGTCTTGAATTGTATTGTGATTGTAATGTCTTCCTTATATTGTAAAGTGCTGCACAAACTGTTGGCGCTATATAAATCCTGTATAATAATAATAGTAATAAATACAATGAGGCTGTTCACATTCCCTGCAAAGTGCATCGGAATTTGCACATTGCAGGGGATGTTTCCCCTTAGATTGGTGAATGTGGTGAAAATTCTGTTCACAAAGTATAGAATGGCAATCATGTGCAAGGAAAATAGATAAAAAGTATATTTGCTCATGATTGGATGATGGATGTCAGAAGAGCTCCACCTCTTTCACTAAGGGGAAGCTTGCCCTGCAAAGTGCAAATTCCCTGACAAAGTGAACCCGCCTAGTTGTCTTTAGTTAATCAACCCCTATATATTTTAGATTAATTGGCTCCTGAATTTCCTGAGTGAAGGAAAATCCTCATTTCATTGTGATGCAGCGGTCAGGCACAGTAGAAAACATGATCTAAAGAGTGACCATGAGCTAACATTAAAGCTGAACTCCAGGATGAGCAAATATGGTCTAAATACAAGTGTCCTGTGTATTCTTGCCTCAATCATGGTTATCTTTGTGTATTTCTTACAGATCTGTGCAGAAATCCAGTGTGAAATTTGGGGCTTCCAGTAATAAAGACCTGTCACTGCTGCTCTCTCTCCTTGTGCAAAGTGACTGGTCTTGAATCCGCCCCTCCTGTAGTTTTTTCCGTCTAGTTGGGGGACCTGCTGGGTCCCTCCTACTGCTCTGCTCTTGGCACAAGCTTTGTGCAGTACAGTGATGATATCAAAGCTGATGTATACCCGTTTTTACTACTGAGGAATACAAATGAAGGTTTTTGACCCATGAGTTCAGCTTTAACCTAGCGGCACCAAACAGTTATCTGGGCTGGTGCTTTAGTTTTTAAATCCTAAATATTTTTGGTGCAGCAGACTTTATCACTAGTTTTACTTCATATGGCACCCAAAACAAATCAGTGGGTCACACCTGACAAATTAATCACAACAGAAAAGGAATGATCCATAGACTCAATGTAACTCTTAAAACCAAACTCTAAGAGTAAACATAACCCCTACATTTAAAATAGAACTATGGCCAAACCTTTTTTTGGCTATAGTTTTCTTTTGCGTTACAGGAGGACATTTACTAATGTCCTCCTGTGACCCAAAACTCAGCATATAGCGTGCTATTGCCCGATATATGCTGACAGCGCAGAGCCGTGCTGCAGCTGGGAAAGATCCAGACAATATTGTCAGGATCCGCCCCAATGTCTGATTGACAGTTGGCTCTGCCTCTCTAGAGCCAGAGCCAGCTGTGCCCACCCCCTCCACTGTGTGTCCCTCCAGTGAGCGTTGAAGGAACAGAAAAAGGGCAGAGAAAAAAAAAACAGTGGGGGTTGGGGGTGACTGATAGTCACTACTCTGCAGGGAAAAGCTAGTGAATTGAGCAATCAGGGGTTTGTGATAAATCAGTTCTCGATCAATAGAGCCAATGTGTGACAGCTACAGTATCATGCTTCGGCTCTAACTATGAGGATGAGAACATTTCACTCTCCCCATAATTTCCCTTTAAAGAGGCTCATTCACCCATTTGGGACAGAGTCTCTTATTGGTCCACCCCTGCCCCCACCTAAACCTTCTCAGTGCCCTCCTGCCACACCTTCCTGTTAAAGTAATACATAAAAATAAAATAACTAGTGCTTTCAGGTATAGTGGAGCATGTGACCTTCTACCATGCAAGGCACGAACACTGTCACATGATGGGAGCAGTGACAACAACCCTTTGTAATGTGGTGGCTTTGATGGATGCATTTGCAGGGTGCATTAAAATGGGTTGGAGGGTGGGATAGCAAGATACTTTGTCACTTTGCCCTGAGTGGAAAAAGCCTTTAAATCTGACAGAAATCCAGTTAGCTTCTAACTCCCTCTAGTAAGGTAACAACATGCCAATGCAGTGTTGTCAGCCAGGTTTGAGCTTTCTTCTGCTAGACTAAAGAACACCTCCTCCTTTGTGTTTTGTAGTCCAGCAATGGAGAACTGTGGGTTAAATACAACATTCTAAGTTGTCATTAGAAATTAAATAGAAGGGAAATCTTCCAATGTGGACACATGTTCCGGTGACAGTTATAAGAACGTATCTTTTCTACTTTGAAGACATTCCCTTTTACTTCTTGTTGTGTCTATAGGAAGGAAGTGAAGGGAAATCTCTGCAATGGGACACAGGCAACAAAAAAGAAACCTGACAGGGGTTTTCCCTACTTCATCTATTGAAAAAATAAAAAGTATTGGCTTTAGATATACTTTAAAAAATGTTGAACACAAATGTTATTTTGTTCTTATTTAAAAAAAGTTGAAGAATAAAGGCTTTGTACATTTTTTTTAACTCTAGTATACTCCTGTGTACTCAGTGGGGTGATGCTTAATTGTCCATATCAATACACTTTATATATCCAACCTATAAAATAAGCGATATAATTTTTACTATCAGTATAGTCATTAACCGGTTTAATGATGCAGCTGGAGAAGAATTATTAATTGCACATCTCTTAATACCCATAAATATACATAATACATGCATCATTACATATTGTCTATGACACATTAATAATCTTCAACATCATTAAAAAAAACGTTGACTGTGAAACTTGAGAATTGTAATCCTACATTTGACAGTGCCATCTGCATTGTTGATTGAACTACATTAAAACACTATCAAGATATGATGAGACATGTAGATGGAAAGGTACCCTGTATGAAAAAAATGTATGTGACACCTGACTATCACGCCTATATGAGCTCCTTGGACATCCCATTATTAATCGTGGGCATGTGGAAGTGCCCCCCTTTTCCTTTTAAAACAGCCTGCACTCTCCTAGGAAGGCTTTGCACACGTTTTTGGAGTGTGTCTGTGGAAACGTGTGCCCATTAAGGCAAAAGAGCATTTTTTTGGGGGTCAGATACTGCTGTTGGATGAGAAATAGAAAGACCTGGCTCACAATTGGTGTTTCAGGTCATCCCAAAAGTGTTCAGTAGCGTGTAAGTCAGGTCCCCACCAAACTTTTCAAACCAGGTCTTTATGGAGCTGGTTTTGTGCACAGGAGCATAGTCATGCTGGAACAAAGAAGGGTTCTTCTGGCCACAAGGTTGGAAGTGCACAGTTGTCTAAGATGTCTTTGTATGCTGTAGCATTCCCAGTAATCCTTATTGGAAACACCAGAACTGAATCATTTTGAGTGGTGTTCACATACCTTTGCCCATTGAGCAGACGTGATGATCAGCTGTCCAAAAAAACTTTTGCCCATATAGTGTACCCGTACTGGTAAAGAGAAAAATAAATTACGTTAGTAATCTATCACTGTCATCTAAACTGACACATTGAGATGCTGGTACACACTCCAGATGCCTTCTAAAATCTTGCAGGAGCCAAAAAAAAACAGAGGTTTCTACTATGCAAACTTCAAAATCATCTAAGGATCTGCCGCCAAACCTGCCCATCACAATGCGGAGCCAATTGGGAGTCAGGAGTGATAGTTGGGCCAGAGATATACCTCCTAAGTAAAGTTAAAATTTGCATTTTAGAGAGTCTCAGGTTTCAGGGCAGGCTGCTAGAATTTTCAGAAGAAGTGGTCAACAATTTCAGCCTCCACATTTGCCTTATGACTGGTGTACAGGATCCATAAAAGTGATTAAGGTCACAACAGTATTAAAGGCCCTTTATGTCTGGGAAGCCTCATTTCCCTCATACCCCTCATTATTCAACTGGTAAAATCCAGAACTTAATGCTCAGTAGAGGCTCTGGCATTTGAGAGTTAATTTATGGGACAAGGCTCATGCCAGTAGGGAGTAATGCTTAATCTTGAGTTGGACAGAACTCCAAGTGCGGTCTGGGCTTAGGATCAAGAGATCCCACAGCAACACAGGGATGATTGTAGACTAATGCCTGAGTAATGTCAGGTAGTTTCAGCCAGCAAACGGTGCCTGCGTTCCAGTGCTGCTGTTGATCTGGACATAATTTAGCAAAGTCAGATTTATTTTAAGAGCTTACTCCAACAAATAGACAACCTCTATGGCACTATAGTAGGTATGAGCCAGTTCACCCATGTCCGCTCAAAATTGTGACTTCCACCCCTACTCCTGGCCTACTTATTTGTGGAGAGGCACAATTCACCACCCTGTAGCTATAAAGAAGTGGGCAGGGAATGCCCCACCACAACTGCTACCACGGATTAGTCCAGGAGGGGGGTGTGGTGGTCGCAGTTTTGAGTGGGCTTGGGTGAACTGGGTTCCCACCAAGCCCAGGTTCATCTCTATTATACAGTCTTGCCTTGCTAAGAGGAAGGCATGACACCTGATGCACCCGGCTCATCTATCTATACATTTTCTCTGTTTAGAGGTGAAAGTCACCCAGGTCATCATACCCTCACATATCCCAATGTTAATAAATTCCATATCTTTCTTCATATAACAACAATAATAATAATTCCTCGTTGTATGAGCTTCATAAAGAACCCGTAGCTGGTCACTGTATCATGCACAGACAATTGAAAAATTGTTGAAAAGTCCCAAAGCTTCCCCAATCTACAGGAAATGTGCCTATGTCTCATCAGGAGAAATTCTCATCACTTCCTGTACACACAGGTTATTAGGGGAAATCTTCCCAATAGAGACACAGGTTGCAATAAAAAATAAAGGTGATGTAACATACTGTGGAGAGAGAGAGAGAGAGAGAGAGAGAGAGAGCGTTTCTATAACCAAATAATGTGTTTTGGTTGGAGTTGGGATTTAATTTATATTTTAGGTTATCTGGTCCTTTAATCTGGAAATCTAATCTACTATTAAGTAAAAGGTAGCACTCTACGACCCCAGCACATTTTTAATGGCAGCTTATTACACTCATATTATGAAGCAATTGCTCTATTCAATGTTTGCAATGATTTTTTTTTTGCATCTTACATTGTAACACAGACGTTTAATTAAAATGCAAATTGCTATAATTTAATTATAAAACGATAAAATGTAATTAATTTAGTTGAAATTGAGGTAATTGTTTAATTATGGGTACTCTCCCATCCATTACCGCCCGCTGTGATGATGAGAATTGGAAATATCTCCAGCTTGCAGTACACGCTGGAACATGTAGTTCAGTAACAGCTGTTGGGGCACAGGTTGCCTGAGCGCACCTGAGATCCGTCTGTCCGTGGACAGCGTGACTTTCTTTCTGTATGACTGCCAACTTTTTTTGCGCCAGGAAATTGGGGCAAAGTCAGCAACCTTCTCCTCTGCAATCACACATTCACAAGCTCACATAGTTGAAAAAAGATCATCAATATTGGGTACACTAGAGATACATTCTTATTCATAAACAGGCATCGGTTAAAAGTAAAAAGCAAAAAGCTTACCCCAAAAACTCCAATCATAAAACAATTTTGTATCTAAGATATATGCATAGCCAAAACTTTGTGGTTTGGTTTTAGAGCAGTGAAGTTATAAATCTGAACTCCGGCCTTTCCATCATTCTTGCACAGCTGTACCAGTTCCTCTCCTGGACTGAAATTGCTTCCTCTGATTACTGCACTCTGTGAGCTTCTCATAATGTGCATTAGAAGCTGCAGCAAGTCAGATAGAGCCCGCCTCATTTCCTGGCTGGAGGACATCCAGTATCATCTAGTCTTTCCTCCCCAGCCTGAATATGCCTGGCCCGCCCCTTTCAGTCACTAGATTTCAGTTCTATTAACTATGGAGGCTTAGCATTATATGTGGGTGTTATGTAGGGTGGTCTGCAAGAAAATACAGTCAGCCTAGGAACACCCACTGCTATATCCAGCCATCAATACATTGCAGATATCCAGCCATCAATGCATTTTGATATTTGATTAATGCCTCCCACATGTGGCTGAGGGGTCTTGAGGGGAATACTGAAGCAGGTTGCTGTGACGTTCTCGGGAAGCGATGTACAGCACCTTCCTGGCCTCTCCCGCCAGCCAAGAGCTGCCTGCATTATATAGAGAAGCACAGGGCCCCAGTGATGACATTCCTGGGTCTAAAATAAGGAATGTAATGAAGACAGGTTTTATTTAAAATATAATCAGCATGTTGATGAGTGGAAACGGAGGAGTCAGGGAAGGCAAAATTAAACCAGATTAGATGTCAGACTTTCAACCCCTTATTTTTTGGTATCTGTGTCCAATTAGGAAGATTTTCCTTTACTTCCTGTCTCCAAGCTGCAACCCGAAGTTAGAGGAAATCTCTACACAATGAATAGAATTCCCCTCTTAGATGGCGCTGACTGGCAGATCGGACGGGGGAGGGGGCGGGTACAGCTGGCTCTGCCTCTAGATAGGCAGAGCCAGCTGTCACTCACGCAGCTGGGCGGATCCAGACATAATGGTCGGGATCCGCTTCAGCTGCGGCGTCTCAGTATACCGCGAGCAGTAGCTTGCGGTATTCTATGGTGTCTCAGTATACCGCGAGCTGTGGCTCGCGGTATACTGAGCTTAGGGTGACCGGAGGACGCTAGTTTGTGTCCTCCCGTTACCCTGAGGAGAACTATGGGGAAAAGCCTTAACCCCATAGTTCTCCTTTTAAGTCCTTTTTTAACTACAGCACTGGGCCAAAAGTTGTTTTTTATACTCTGTCTGGAGTTCAGCATACAAAAAAAAAAGCTAACTATTATTATGCAATGGTGGAAGCCACCCTGTCACAATGTAGAATGTTAATTTCCTGTTCTTAGTCTTCATAACCTGTGCTGTCAATTACCATCTCATAGTTCTTGAGGTCTTCAGGAACAGGTTTTGCATGTTCGAAGCTCTACCACTGCAAGGAACGTAGGTGTTGATTGGTTATATATTTAGTTTTTCTTTTTACGATCACTGCAAACTAACACAATATTGTTGTTCTCCTTTTCATGTTGGCCCATGTTCTTCTTTAAACCTATTCTTGTGTGTTCTTAAAGCAGCAGGTATCTTTGTTCGAGAGCCGCAGCTTTAGGAAAAGGGCAGCCAGCGATTGTATATTATTTCAAGCTCAAGTGGCACTTAAGGGGTCAACGATGCAGTAAATAGGAATTATATACTGAGCTCTCCCTTGTCTAAATGGGTTTTGTTGCTCGTTGCAGAGTGGAGCGCTTGTCAGCTCGGTGAAAAGGCTGTGTGCGGGGAAGGAATAAAAACTCGGCTTTTAGACTGCACCCGCAGCGATGGAAAATCTGTGAAAATTTCCTTTTGTGAGCAGGTAAAGTTAAGGACACAGACCTGTACAGGCAGACACTCTTAACCTCTGGCTGTGTTGCGCTCAGCATGATCGCGCTTAGTTCACTTTGAGGCTTTTATTTTATTTTTTAAATAAAAAGAATATGGAATAACCGTGATCAACATGAAGCCACTTTTCTGATGTTTGCTTAGTCCTTACCGCAGGAAAGAGCTCTTAGAACTTAAGGGATAAGTGAATGTTTCACGGGGAAAAAAAAATCAAGACTGACGTCCCCTCCCTGGCCTCTGCAGCATAGACTAAATCAAAGCAGAAATGTCTTCACAAAATAAATGCTTGTTAACACTATCCAGCTTGCCCAAGGTTGGCGTCATTCCAGCACTGTGTAGCATTATTAGAAATACAGGGACTGAGCAGGCTGGCCAATGTACCCTGTAGCCAGAGCCATCCAAGCGTGCTACCATATCCAATCGAATTATGAAAAGGGAGAGCTGGTAAACACTGTTCTGGCCCCCCGTCCAATGTCAGTCTTTAAAGAAACATCAGATTCTTGCTTCACTTTGCACACTATATGGCCAAAGGTATGTGGACAACCCTCCAAATTATTGAGTGTAGGTGCTTCCAGTGAATGGTATTGTTAATGCTATAGCATACAGTACAAAGACATTTTCGCCAACTGTGCACATCCAACCATGTTGGAATAGTTTGCAGAAGGTCTCAGGTTCCAGCCTGACTATGCCCCTATGGAAAAAGCCAGGTCCATAAAGACGTGGTTTGATAAGTTTGTTGTGAAGGAACTCAAGTGACCAGCACAGTGCCCTGACCTCAACCTTACTGAACAACTTTGAGCTGATTTGAAATGCCATTTGCCAGGTCTTTTCCAACACCAATACCTGACCTTAGAAATGTTCTTTTGGCTAAACGGGCACAGAATGCCACAGACACACTAAGCCAGATATTTGCTCTCTCTGCTGCCCCAATGCCAGGTTCCTCAATGCGCCCCCCTTCCCGACACAAAACAATTACCCACCCAGCGCCCGGAACTGCATGTCCTTGGCATCGGGAGATAGGAATTTCACACCCCTGCTGCCCCTCTACTCCCTGCTGCCCTGAGGCCGGGCCTTGGTTGGCCTTGTGGGAAATCCGGCCCTGGACAGACTCCAAAAATCTTGTGGAAAGCCTTCCCAGAAGACAGGAAGGTGTTATAGCCAAAAAGGGGATGGGGCAAAGTCATGTAAAAGCCATTCCCAACACCAATACCTGACCTTAGGAATGTTCATTTGGCTAAATAATCAGAGTTCCACAGACACACTCCAAAATGTTATAGCCAAAAAGGGATGGGGCAAATGCATGGAAAAGCCCTTGGTTTTTGATTGGGATGTTCAACAAGCTTATGGAAGTCTGATGATCAACAAACAAATGTTTGTTTGTACTGCCCAGCATTTGGGTGGTCTCTGGTATCCACCATTAGGAATTATGAGCCCTGGGCAAGAGTACTGCAGATAACTGTTCAAAGGGGAACCACCCATAATAAATGTAGGATCATGTGGTAATATTATTACAGACACAATAGTTGGGGGCATAGAGCAGATTCCAATTCAGTATTTTTATAACATTTGAGCAGGTTTTGCCAGGGCTGCTGTTTACTCCCAGTCTTGACCTATTCTCTTCACTATTATTTCATGCCATCCTTAGGGTCTTCTGGCAATTGCACGCATTCAGCTTGGTTTCATGTATTAAAGTAGAGAGAATTCAGAAACCCTATTAGGAAGCTTTGGCTTTCGACAAGTCCCTCTGATTCTGTTGTATCCAGAGGGCACCTGTGGGTGATATCCTAATTACGGTCTTATGTGGCCTTATAAAAGAAAGTAATATGACTGTTTCAAGGGTTGGACATTTTTTAAGCTTGACACTTTGCCAAACTCCCAGAAGGCTTCCAGGACAGCAAAAACACATCAATAACAATTTTCCAATAAGAAAACACAGCACCTGAACACTTTTGATGCAGCTCTCGGCCATGTCTTTCAGTCTGTGCTCCAGATTGGTTTCCAAGGGGATTGCACCACTCCACAAATCAGCAGACCTTTATTTAATTTAGCCTTAGTGGCTCACAGGTCAATCTCCCATAGTTTTATTAGCTTCAGGTAAAGCCCTTCCTCATAACAACCGATGATATTACACACTTCATTAAAAAACTAGTGGAGGAAAAGATCACAGGAGCTGTCAACCTTGGTCCTCTCAGCTCCGTGTCCTTCCTTCAAATGGTTCCAACACATATTGTCCTTGGAGTATCACTGATCTCTCCTGAGCCCTTATGACAATGACTGACAAACTTCCTTTCAAGCCTTTCTTACCTTTCAAGGAGCAGAAGTTGCAGGGAACAGTGGGTACATTCCTATTGGAATCAAAAACGATTTTGCCAATCACATGACTTATTATAAGAAGTGCAGATATCTCATCCTACCTACTGCTGGCCAAATGCACTACAATCTGATTGCCCAACCACCTTTTGGTTTACAAATGCAAGGGCATACCTAACTGGAACCAAATTGAATAGATACTTTAGGATCTATTTATAAATCTTCCACCCAACCATATGCTGGGGGAATGCCACTTGTACAGCATTCCCACCACTAGATGGAAATTCCTATGTTCCTAATCTAGTGACGAGAATGCCGTATGAACAGCATTTGTCCAGTGTATGTCTGGTTGGAAGATTTATAAATAGACTCTTTAATGTAGGTCCTCACATGTTATAGTTTTAATGCAAAGAAGACTGTACAGTCAGATTGTAGTATGCATGGCCAGTTTTAGACACCAGGAATACTACTCTTAAGGATATAAACTGTGCTTGAAGCACAAGACCAATCTGATATTGCAAATTCTGTTTATTAGAACTTGCAGAAGAGATTATTGCAATTATGAGGAGAAACAAAAGAATTCAGTCTTGGATGTCTGTAATAAGATTAAAACCGGGGCTGCAAAGTGATTTTTAATCTTACAGAGAAAATCTCTAGAGACAGGATCACTATTTATCATGGCTGCAAGCGGTTCTGGGGGGCCATTGCTAAGAGGTTAATGTTGCAGGATTATATCTTGACGGGTTGTTGAACTGTTTATGTTTATCTCCTTCTACATTCATGTTTATGCAGGAGAGGGAATTAATTACTTACAATTCCTGCTACGAGGTTAAATA